AAAAGTGATTATATATTACAGGATCTCTGAATCTGTCATGATTTATAATGCCAATCTTTGGGGATTAAGTTATTTTAATAATCATGATACTTTGAAATTTTAAGTTATTCAAAGTTGTTTAAATTACACCAAAAGTTGGACTATTTTACATAAGGTAGTATCTGAGAAATGGACTAAACCAGGCAAGGATTGGAGGTAAATGCATTGTACATGTACCTTGTTTTTGGCTTTGAACTAGGTGTTAGTAACTGGGGGTACTCTCAGATCTGTACTTAGTCTTTTTTGTTGTGGGGATGTATAAATACCTACCACGTCTTGTGTGTGTTTTTGTTAGATGTCTTTCTGCTTTGTATAGATCTGATGAGTTAAGCCCTTTTCACATCAATATCCCAGGTTAGGAGGTGGGTTCGGCACCACAAACTACTAGTCTAGCCCCACCACATCTTGTACATTTGTATGTGCCTGTCCCATGTCAGGAGCCTGTAATTCAGTGGTTCAGTTTGTCGTTTGTTGCTGTGTATCATATTTTTGTTTTTTTTTGTTCTTTGTTTTGTATATAAATTAGTCTGTTAGTTTTCTTGTTTGAATTGTTTTACAAATTTGTCATTTTCATTTGGGGTTTTTTATAGCTGACTATATGGGATGGGGTTTGCTCATTGTTGAAGGATGTACAGTGACCTATAGTTGTTAACTTTGATGTCATTTGATCTCCGATGGAGAGTTGTCTTTTCTCATGAGTGTAAACAATATTTCATTTTGAAAATAATTAGGTTATTTAAACAGTCAAGGGTCTAACTTAAATAAGTTATTAGCGAAAAATAACATACATTTGTTATTGAGGGCTAAAAAATCAAAAATCTGTGATAACATATGTATGTTTACATGTTTCAAAGGGGCATTATACATCCTTTAAATTGTGTACTAGTTCTATTGATATTATAATTGTCTTTATGTATATTAAACTTTAGAAAGATATAACAGCCCATAGTTTGCCAATCATGCATAACACACCCATGTTATTACAGAAAAAATATGCCTGTAATAACAAAAGGGTGTTATTACAGCTTCTCTACATCTCTTCAAAGCCTTTTCTCCTACATATATCACAATGTATTTTAATTTCTTGTAATAAATAATGATAAGAGCATGTAATGAGGTTCCGCGCAAGCTTCCTAGTCATTCCCAAGTGTCTCATGTAATAAGTTAAATGCCTGTAATAACTAAGCCTTGTTATTACAGCTAAGTTATCACTTAAAAGCCTTGTCTCATTGATTTACCATGGTTGATCAAAAATGTATTAATTGAATTGGAAAATTAGTTTTCAAGGTTATGTATTAAGTTACTGCGCAAGTTTCAAGAATTTCCAAGTGCCCACTGAAAATAAAATTTTTTATGGTACATTTAACTGATAACAAGCATATGTTACTACAGATTAAGAGAAAGTATCCGTAATAACACATGTATGTTATTTTTCTCTAATAACTTATTCAAGTTACACCCTTGACTGTTAAACATTACAATATGACAGTTTTATTAGGATTGGAAAACAAGTGAATTTTCACTGACTTTTACCAATTCCTCTCTTTTCTCATTGGCAATCATACCACATTTTCTTATTTTTATATTTACATTACGTACATGTAAAGTAGACCTTTCATCTTCTCGAGGGGTCCGATTCCTAAGTACAACAGGGGGCCCTAACAGCTAGGATGAAAATGTTATCCTGCATTTTTTTTTTTGTTGAAATATCTGTCCTGCTGGTTTATTTTTCAATCTTTTCGGTCCTGGCTTTTATTTTTTTACTCAAAACTCCTGTCCCGCATTTTTTCAAATTTCGTCTAAGCCCCCTTTCTAATAACATGAATAAAAACCAAATGGTAGCTCCCTAAACAAGAGCGGAGCGATTTTAAAATAATGAGGCGTTTTGCCAATGGCAATGGGGCGAGTTGACTTGCCGGTACCTCGATAGTCCTATAATATATGAACTCGGGGGCATTATTTTCTATTTCTGTTTTCTTTTTACTGATTTTGCTATTTTTCTTTTTTTTTTTTATTATCAATGTGCCACCCGAGCATTAAAAAAAAATGAAAATACCAGCATGAAAACGTTAAATAGTGAATATATAATGCGAAGGCATATATTATAGGACTAGGTAAAAAAATGTACCTCGAATGACCGAATAACACCATTATTATCCGAAAACACTTATAATGACCGAATAACACTTGAAATTTTAAAATTAAACATTAATTATTGAATAATAGTATATTTAAAATGTATTTTATAGCTTAAAAATGATATATAGAAAGCAGGTAAATTCATCAAAAAGATCAGTGTGTACATCCAACATGGCGACCATTGTTATTTCTTATAATATTATTTTATAATCAATGTTTTTATTAAAAGGCACCAATATGTGCTAATATTAAAATTTCGAGTGTTATTCGGTCATTTCAAGTGTTATTCGGTTAAAAACGGTGTTATTCGGTCATTCGTGTTACCCTTGACTTGCTTCCGTTTTTGCCATTCTTTGACTGATTTTCGGGTTTACATGTGCATGACATGAATAAAGTCAAATGATTTTTCGTGAAAAGTTTAGCACTAGCATCTTCCTAAAAATGTGCATGATTATATTTACCTTTCATTGCGCTTTCCAAGTACAATAAGTTGGTACGTAATCCATCAAAACGAAACACTTTCGTTGCGTTGACTTTCTAATGGATTCTTCCAGTTAATCGACAATGTAACCCATTTCAATATATCTGTTTATAATAACTTTTTTACCCATCAGTTTGAAAAACCAAAGGTCTTTGTATCAACTATCTGACTATCTTTGTCCATTCTTTTTAAACAGTAAAACTTAAACTCAGCAAATTTGTTCCATGCAGTTAAAGATTATCTACACTCATAAAATACCATTATATTTTACAAAGTATGTGTTAGTAATGTCTTTATGTATCGTATATATTGAGTATTGTATTAACTCATATGCTTGATATTTTATTGAATAAAATATTATTATTATTATTATTAATTCAGCAGCAGACTCGTGAGCGTCCATGGATTTTGCGTCATAGTATGAAAACGGCAACGGTGAAAAGATTTCCGGGTTTCCGTATTCGACGTGCCAAGCTTTCGTACATTTACGTATAATCATAGATGTAATCTATGGTATACTATATGAGAGTTAGTCTGGTATCAAATATGGGGATTTAAGTAAGGACAAAAAAAAATAGATAGTTGAAAAGCAAAAATATAGAATGAAGGATCATAGAGTATAATTGAGTATATTTTTAATTATGAAGAATCATGATGCAGAGACATTATTCTCAGAGCATATACATGTCTCTGGAAGAATTGAGAATAAAGAAAAACTAAATTAAGAATATTCAATCATTTATATATTATTTATAACTCATTCACATGTTGTTCCATTCAGAATTAAATAACTCTGCTGAGGGGAGCATGGGAAGTTGGGAAAATTGACAAACGAGAATTACTGTAATCAGAGAAGAATTAAATGTTAGACAGTTAGAGTGTAATAAATAAAATATTAACATATATTTTTCAAAATGTTGTCACAGAAAACACAGATTTTTATATTACTAATAAGATTCTGCAATTTGAGTATCTATGTCCAACAGATGTCAGTGAATTAGAAATTTTACTAATCTGATAGACGTTTAGTTAAGAATCTGTGACAAGTTCTTTTGTAATATTATTAGGAAATTGCCTACCACCTCCTTGATTTAGAATTGCATACTCTTCAAGGTTAAGCTAGTTTTTTTTTGTAATGTTAAGCCCAACGTTTACTGTTGATTTTATCGGCTTTCATTCTTTTAACTTTTCTCATTTTATTGGATTTATGGTTATAAATACCACTTTAATTGGTATCCTCTTTCGATTTCACGGTTAACAACAGACCCACAGCTAAAGCCATGTACTGTAAAAACATCATCTTACCGAAAAATAGTTTTATTTTAACCTGCAGGCCGGAGATTTCTGTCTAGAATTTCATACCAAGGTTGTTTGGGTATCACAGTTTAAAAATGTTATCACCGTTGATCCAATAAACAAATCCTTGGTTGATCTATTCTATACAGCTAGTTTTAAATATATTTACTAAAACTTTATATTTTCTAAATCATTGTGAGGTTAGGTACAATTGAAACCTGAAAATACATCAGCATCACGAAAATCATCAGGAAAAATGATGATACTATTCAAAACAAAAGAAACGTGTACAAAGAAAACATATTCAATGAAACATTTATCTGGAAAGAACATTGAAAAGATATATCATAGTCAAAACCGTGAAAAATAAATCGTATGAATCGTATGCAATGTCAAGGAACATCTGTAGAAATGTTTCTTGACAAATGGTTTATAAGATAAAGTTCAATCAGCACCGTACGATTCTTTAACAATCGGGCTAAACAGAGACTAAGGATTACAAGTATTCGAATAGTACCGACAATTATATACATAATATATGGGCGCTTTAGAGTAATTTATCAATCAACTTGGTTTTTTTGTTTTGTTTTTTTTTTAAATGCAGATTAATCTTACTATACATACATTTTACATGTTTACGTCCGAATATGTCTTTCATATTGAATGTTACTATGACGTATAAGCATGTAAAGATTGACAAGTATGATCACCACTCATTTTAGATACAAGAAACTCATTTCAGGTTTAGTTGGTTGTTACCTTAAATACATGTGGAAATAGGCAATTCAGTCAGTTATTATAATGTTTAAATTTTATATCATGTTTATGACATATTCTTGATATTTCTAATTGTTATATTTTAGATTCAGCGAAATGGCATTTAGAATATAAATGTATCTTTTGTTGAGAGCTTTTTTTGATAAATCGATCCTGTTGTAGATCTTCAAAATAGTTTCATTTGGCTTTCAAAATAATTAAAAGTCAGGGGCCAATGGAAAACGCATGATATACAAAAAGATGACCGACATAAAACGAAACCACAAAATAAGTACACAACACATTACATAAACATATTAAACACAATCTCATTTTAAAATGCGATGCCACAATTTCCTAAAAGTGCACATAGTTCCTGTTCTTTTTGGTACCTGTTGCATGTGTTGCATGAGAAAATAAAAGTTGATCAGAGGTATTTTTCAATATATAGTCTTTAACGTGTAATAACATCAAGAATATGATTACGTCAAATAAAATATCTGAAATGTTGCGAAGAGGTTTTCTTAATAAATCACGCAGTGCAAGGTGTTGACATAAATTTATCATCACAATTTAAGTAAAAGAAACAATTTTCAATTCCTTATTTCATAATGCCTTGTTTATAAAATAAATAATCCCGTCTTTATATTGGATACTAAAGTTTAATGAAGAAGAAAAAAATGATAAAAGGAATATACAGCCGTGTCATCAGGATTTTCGAATGAACATATTTCTTAACACAAATCTTTCTAAATTAAAAGATGGCCTTCAGAAATATTGTGATGAGGTATAGGTAATCAGAGATCGACTGCAAATCAGCGATATTGATAATTGTTTTTTCTACGCTTTAAACTACTGTTTCCAATGCTCAATTAAAAGTTTAAACTCAACGTCTATGTAAAAAGGAGTTTCTCAACAAGAAAGTTATGCGTAAATACATATTTCTTGATTTATGTTTTCATAAGCAAATCTTACCCTGTGAATTGTACTGATTCTAAAAAACCGAGGAAAGTATATCAAAGTGCTGGACGTTTGATCGACAACATACTTGTTGGTGAATTGGTATTTCAACAGTCAGTCGGTGTTCTATCCTATGTTCTGTGCAGCAACATTCATACGGCGCCTGCATATGGAGAATGTATCTCAAGGTTGGTTTAATATTACGTGTTAATATTCATGACTCGTACAAGACCAATCTTCTTGCGTTTCCTTTCATGATTTCATTGATAAAGGATATAAAGGGTACGCTCTCTCTCTCTCTCTCTCTCTCTCTCTCTCTCTCTCTCTCTCTCTCTCTCTCTCTCTCTCTCTCTCTCTCTCTTTCAATGAACAATATATGCATATACAGAGTAACAACAAGTGTTTAAAGAAGAGTGACAATACAATTGTGGAATAAGGTATGCTAATATTTCAACATTATCAAAACATATAATTGGCTTAAAAAAATGATAAACAGTTTTAAACACAATAACAAAAGCAAACTTGTTAGTTATTTAAATACACTGTCATAATTTATGTCAACGTTATGCATTACTCTCCCTTAGAGATTTGCTACGAACTACTATTCTATTGTCCACATTTATGTTAAAACTATTTGATACAGACTGCGTTACTTCTTCTGATGTACTACTTTGAGTACTGATTGAACCTCTCTGTCCTATGATAACAAAAATACATTCAGATTATATAAAATCAGGCCGGTTAGGTTTGTTTTATGAATGATTTGGTTTTCTGAAATGAAACAAATATACTTGTGTAGTAAATATACAGATAAGTTCTGTAATGACAAGAATAAAAATATAAGAGTATGTTTTATGTAACTCATTATATCATTCACCCGTAAATTACCTATATAGACACCTTTCACCTATGCCTAGAACGATATATAACCTTTAAAAAGCAGTTTTTGCACGGTTAACACAATCAAATACATCTGTATCTATATATAGCTTGTGGTTTATTATATTTTAAAAACCCTGTAAATCAACTTTGTTTCCAATTTTTGACATTTTTACCTATTGTGTCTGTTTGTTTTGCTCACATATTGTTGTCAATAGAATGGAATTTTATACGACTACTGTCATACACAAGTGAGAGGTTTAGCTAGCTATAAAACCAGGTTTAATCAACCAATTTTCTTTAGAGTACGGTATTTTTGTTATTTTACTTATTTCCAACAGTATTATGATTATTCCACTTTCTCAACAAAAGAAAAGAAAAATTTTAAACATGTCTAAGCAGAAACTTTAATTAGATGAATGTTTCATTAAATATTGATCGAAAAAATGAAAACTACACTTTATGAACTGTATGCGTCCGAATTGTTTTTTTATGATTTACCTTCATCTGCACAAAGCCAATTAATTGAAAGTCGAGGATGTATAAGAACAGTTGTATATCTGTATGACCAAAAAGAACTTTAGAATAATAGCAGTATCACTATATTGTCAACTTTGCCTGATGGAGTTGAAACCTTAGTGTCTTAATAATTTCTAAGTTTTATTTAAACAGACATTACAAAAAAGGTTTGTTATAAATCATGGCAGTACTGACTACTGAGCTGATGATACTCTTGCGAACTGATTGGCCACCAGCAGCGGTATTACTCCAGTGGTGTAAACTTACAATTGTTGTCTGATCATTACATGGAATTATAATAAAAATAATACAAACAATAAAGTGAAAAAGACTTTTTTTCTACTGCTTTTCCGACGACAAGTTTTAATCTAAATTTAAACAATATAATTCATATTTGTTCGAAATTTTCATAACCTCTTTAAATTGTATGCAGAATATATCTTAGTGTCGATATATGTTTCTGTATAGACGACTGTTTTACAAATTCTATAACAAGAGGTTTTACTTATACGCGAAAAATGGTGGTAATGAATTTTTTCTTATTTTCTTATAATCAATAAGATAATATTATTTTTAATGGAAGCGTCATTGTCTGCATTGTGGCGAATGATTCTATTGTTGAGGAATTTTAAGACCCTGTTAGTTTGGCTTCGGATTTAATCATATTAGCAACATCCGAGTAACTTATATATATGTTTTTACTCGTTGATCTAGATATATCTCGAATTATTTCCCATGTACTTATAAGTAATAGTAAAAGTTCAATACTACAGTGACTAAATGTTTTGTTTTAAGCTTTTAACGATATATCAGCAACAAGGAAACTTACCAGGCACAGCTGAATAACGTACTGGCATAGATGATATTTTTGTCGTTGAGTTTGAATCTATAAAAAATAAGATTAAACACAAAACGTAGTGTATCAGGAAAAGACTTTCAGACCTAGCATTTTGGCATTTTTTCAACTTCCTATTACATTTTACCACCCAACTGTTTTGTTCGAATGCCACCAATAAGTCTCACATTTACGTAACGCACGTCTGTTGTACAACATAGAATGTCAGGTCTCTTTGATGTGTTATCCTGAAATTTGGTGTTTGAGCATACATAAGAACTATTGCACTGTTTTCAAATGAATCGTTGCTGTAGTGATACTTTGGATTCTAAATCATCATTATGAGTAATAAAGGATTGCCCAAATATGTGTTATATACTTTATATCTTGAACTTAAATGTTGAAATGTACAATAAAGAAAATTTGCAAACTAAACTTTACTACTGAAGAGGTAATTCCGATTTCGTCTTCTTGTGACTTATCCATTTATATGTAGCAAAATTTGCCTGCATATTGAGTATACATCAATGATACGATTTTGAAGGCCTTCATGCGATTCATGCTTTAATTTCCAGTGTTTTAGTAATAGCTATAACATTTGTAAATGTCTTTCTGTATGTAAGTACTGAGCTATATTTTGTCTATATTTTGTCATTAAAGGCAATGTTTTCTGGTAAACAATTTGTACATTCGGTCAAAGTAATGGGTACGGTATATAACAATGTAATTGTCCAATGATTTATTTATTTTGTAATATTGTAGGATTAGATAAAATACAATTACCAATTGCTTTTGTTTTAACCTAATCGCTGGATAAGACTCATCAAAGTATTTTATTAAGCGTTTAATGGATTGTCATAAGTGTAGCATGATCTGATGAATCTTCCGCATCTATGGACAGTCACCCCCCGGATCTGAGGGGCTGATCATTCTGAAGTTTTCTGTGATTGATAAAAATAGAGTACCACTCTAATGTTACAGTTTTATTTGTTGAACTGTTTAAGTGTATACCGCATGTTTAAATAATGCGAGTAAACGATAGTATTGTAAGAGTATCCTGTACTATACTGGGCAGTTAACTTACGAACGCTCATAAAATGCAGTATCTGCTCCCCGGAACACCTCTATATGTGTATAAACTTCGTCAGTTACTTTGTTTAATATGGTTCCTCTGCTTGGTTAATTTATGTGTACTAAACGGCTTCCTGTATTTGTAAGTAACTTTGCTATTTGTGTTTCTGACGTCTTTCCATAGATTTTAATTAAAACGAGCATCCTCCAGCTCAAGTTAGTTTTACCAGTGACATGCATATTTCTTTTTATATGTATCCAAGATTGATAGAAATAGAGTACCACTCCAATGTTACAGTTTTATTTGTTGAACTGTTTTAAATAAAACGATTAGATAACGAATTTCTGATAATTCTATGACTTGTATACAATCTAAATTTATAGTTGTGGTGTCCGACGTGGTGGGAGATAGCTTACTATACAAAAGAAAAAGGCTATCAATATTCCATTATTTATCCTTATGCTCACCTTAAGCTTATTACTGCTTTGTTTACAATTTTATTAATATTGTGTGTCCTTTTTTAACTTGCCTCCAGCAGAACTTTGTGCTATCTGCCATTACTGAGTGTTCGCGCGTTTATATACAAAATGGCAAGTGTCACGTGAAGTACTGGTCCACTTGTTACTTGTTCTTCCCGGAACTATACAATATTAAGATATTGAAAAAAATAGAATTGGAACCATCTAGAGTTGTCTTATGATTGTCCTTTAACATACAATATTAAAACTAAGCAATAGAGGTCATAATACCAATAAAATAACTTGAAATACGCAATCGGACACCACTGCTTGCGGATTGATTTAGCAGACGATATACGCAAGTACATAGAAGTAAGTTGCATACAACTTAGTTCATTCCCCCAAACAAAATATTTACAATATATTTGTGTCCGGCAGGGTATAACCATAAAATATTAAATCTGTGGTATTCAAAATACAATAATAGATCAATTGTCAGGGGGACGAATTGGTATTCAAAGAGATAGAAATCGACGTTTCATTCCCCATAAATTGACAGACGGCAAAATAGCCTGTGAGTAAAGAAATGTATTTAGCCGTTGTTTATAAAGCAAAACAAGTCATGAAAAGTAGATATTGGTTTAAAGAAATTCTTCTCAATACGAGAATTAGTTGTTAATTTATACAGAAAAGGTAAACTATGAATAAATACACACATTCCCTGCCGTGACACCTGTACAACAAATGTAAACAGTGTTTTACACATTAAAAATTTAATTTACCGAATAATTATCATCATCATTTCAAACCTATGTCTAAACATGACCTAGAAATGTGTATATTAGCTGATGAAAACCATATGACTCATGTCATGTGTAAATGGAAACATTGTCTGACTTCAGAGATAACAGAGTCAAGGAATATTGAAATAAGTAATTTTACTTTAAGATATGTTTGTATATTTCGTAAAGTTTACATGAATATGATTACAATCATAATATTTCATAACCATTTAAGACAAATATGTGAAGTTCCAAGAATACGGTGTGAGATAATATATTTCCACAATAGATTTGGCTACTGGTTATTATCTTGTTAGGCGCAGGGTTAAGGTTGGGCAAGACAGCATATATTCTTAACTAGTAAGGCAAATGTTTTTACACAAACAGGTTTAACCTTCATTTACGTTGATCGTATGTGCCATGACTAAACATGCCATATATGATTGGTCAGAAATATAATTATACTGACTCGTGCTAGAACAACATGTTGTTTTTTTTTTTTATCTTTGTGTTAATTAACAAATTTTTGGCATTATTTCTCAAACAGTTTGCGCTATTCTGCATACACTCTTTGGAAAATTTATATACAATTTCTAGAATAAAACAATTGATTTCCAGTCGTTCCGTTAGTAGAGTGCTTGGTTTTGTCAGTTTTAATTTACCTCTCTTTTAATTTACCTTGGAATTCGTTTTTCGTTAATAGATGTGTTGTCTTAATTCGAAAACTTTTGCCTTGTTATCTTTTAGTTTTTCACAGTAATTGTAAAACTGAACAGGTATCACCTTCATTTGAATATGTTTTCCCCATTTCAAATAAGCCCCTTTAATTTAACTTAAGCCTCGTGTAAAGTTATTTCACCCCCTCATAAAAACGAATTAAAATTAGGCAAAGGTACCAAGTCAGGAATATGACAGTTGTTATCCATTCGTTTGATGTGTTTGAGCTTTTGATTTTGCCATTTGATTAGGGACTTTCCGTTTTGAATTTTCCTCGGAGTTCGGTATTTTTGTTATTTTACTTTTTAGAAACCTCGTTACCAATGGTTTTCATAAGAATACATGTCTTATGTTGTTAAAAAATGTTGTTCGTCAATAATTTTAATGTAGGGCTGTAAGAGTAATGGATTGTAACTCGACCTAGATTTATCAATATTTGAAAACTTGTTACCGAGACAGTGGAACAGATATTGCATGCATGGTCTCATCGGGTGGTTCGTCGTTAGTTGGTCCGTTCAACTGTCGTTAGTACATTACTCCATAACATAACTAGTTTCCACAAGCTCTGTTTAACTATACACTTTATTTAAGTACCAGTACCTTATGTAAAAGTGTGCATTATGATGATGAAGAGGGTTTTAACGACCTTGACTACCCATGAGGTTCTTGTATGGTCGGTTCTATTCACTTAAGGACAATTACTTTGTTACTTGTGTAACATAAAAAGGGATTGTAACCTCAGCAAAGAAAATATTTAAAACCAGATGCCTTCAAGTAACAAATTATTGATAAATATTTTCTTTGAACTACCAATGGTGTAGCAGATTTCAGTTCATTCGAAATTTTCCTCATTTGAAGTTGTAAGTGCAAATGTACTCAATATTGGGATCTCATGTTTGAGACGGAATTACGCTACTCCTATTGAACAAAACAAACAACATCAATTTTAACATATTTAAAAATATCTTTCATTCCAATAGTCCATTCAGTTCATACATTGTACTTTGTAGACTGTAGTTCATAGCACGTGCCGTGACAAAACATTCTTAATATGATTGTTCTGTATAACAAAAAGAATGAACACGGTAATCTCAAATGTAACTAATTTTAATCACATTTGAAAAACGTATCAAAATGCAAGTCGCAATAAAAGAAATTGCCTTGCCGTAAAATTCTAAATAAATTGCCCTGTAAAAATTTTAATTTTTGACGTTAAGCATATCAAGGTTAACTTGTCATAATGCGTAGGAATTATATAGCTAGAGATTAAAATGTATTACTTACTTTCATTGCCATGACGGACTAAGTAAAACATCCGAGAAAAATCTGGTTCTGTTCTTTGAACGTCATCTGTAAACAATAATGTTAAATATGAAATAATTGATACTGATCATGCTGATATGATAACTCGCAACAAAATAATCATCAATGATTTGACTTTAACAAAAACAAAAACATTCAATCTATCAAAACGCCGTAGAATTAATATATGATCCTGCTATTTACTTACACCCTTACATTTACGACTGAAAACAGCAGCGCGGACATTTAGTTATAAAACATCTCAAGATGGATTAACTGGAAAAACAATTCGATTGTTCTATTGCAAATAACTTAACTTGAATTTCATTGCTATTGATAATGCAGAATTTAAGGCAAAGTTAGATCAACGCTACTTTTAAGTAGAGTAACAATCTTTTTAAGAAATATTATCAGAAACGTCCTTTTTTTTTGTACCCCGGAACATTATGCAGTTTTTATCGATATCAAAACACAAACATTGCAAACATGAACATGTCTATAAGTACAAATGAAAGTCTCAATTACTCATTAATCTCCCTAATACATAGCTTTGATTTATTGTCTAGGTTTTGCTTTAATGTTTGGTCTTTTTTGTTTTCATCAGGTCTTCAACGTTTGGAATAGTTTTGAACTTAAAATATTTTACCTCTAGAATAGACCTTTACTATAGGAAGTGAATCGGGGTAAAATATTTTAATCCGTTAATGTAAGTTCCTTACTTGATATCTAAATTTTGTGTATCTAATGACATTGATATTCAAAGCAAAGGAAGTCATAAGCGGTCCCTTTTAAGCTACCACAGTAGAAACTTTAAGATCATTTCGGCTTAATTAACACATAACTAAGGCGTCGCCATAATATTTGTTGTTAATATATAATTGATAAATCCACTTTGTATTTAAATATCTTTAATCATCTTGGTGGGCAAAGGTTGTGCTGTATAATTTTTCTAAGCATGTCCATATCAAATTTCAAGTTGTATAGTTTCACTTTATTACTAGAATTTCTTTCATTTGTTTCAATTCGAAACAAATGACAAGTACATATTTTTAACAAAAACAGCATCATTTTATAAAAGTACATTCATTCAGCATTTTATTTTGATAATCTGAAATAAGTTGATATATCTATTTTTTAAGGGCCAACTCTGCATCAAATCATACCTTTAACTTATAAATTAATATTTATTTGCAACGATTTAAAGGGGTACAGAACACATAAGAAAGATAACTCTTACGCATAGTGTGTTTCGTCGCAGCGTTTTTAAATCACATGAAATATGCCAGAATTTAAAAGATCCTGATCAGAATGTTTACATTGTTGCTAGTAGCAGACGTACACTTTTTGTTTTTCGTTTAACCAAGGATTTGTATAGTGACTATACAAATCCTTGGTTCAACTTTTTAAAAATACCACGGCTCTTTTGTTGAGTGCCATGGGATAGGCCCTAGATTTGAAATTAGAACGGAAAACGTCATAAAAGAAGCGTAACAATGCACAACGTCATGCAATTGTTTCCGTCTTGAAGCAGGTCTGTTTCGACGGTTGGCGTATGTCAGTTAGATTTCTTTATGTAAATAGACATCATAACAGATTTTTAAGACATTTTACAGGCAAATTGATTTATTAGAACCGCTAATAAATATTCAAACATTAAGCAAGTAAACTTAAGACATTCGGAGATAAGGCAATATGTATATTCTGTAAAACGAATTATAAATATATAGACTATAGTAGAGTTCCAATAAAATGACATACGTACGTAACTCGACGTCCAGACCTAATGAGACAGGTTATTGCCAACCATTGAATTTGATTAAATACGTCGCTCAAGTTTAAACAAAGTATTCAAAGACTTTAAAAATCCCACTCTGGAAATTTTCGTTCATATAAAATAATTTTAGCATGACGAAAAATGATAGAAATCTTGCATTTTCATTTATCACATGGCTATCCAGATTCCCGCCTTTATTTCGCTGACATAAAATCACGTATAAACACACGTATCCCATACCTTTCATACGATCGATTTGGAGTTATCTTTCATGGTTGAGATTATAACAATTATTTTTCAATATACTTTGCAGATGAACGCCCCATTATAAAACTATCGCTCCCAATTAATTTCTAAACAAAAGTATTTTTCATTTATTTTAACATGTATTGATAAAAAAAAAAGCCCTATATTGGTTGTATTTAAGAAGGTGTGCTCGATTAAGGATTGTTCTGTGTTGTTTTGTTTTACGGGAGTCCAAATACGAAAGACATTTCCAGGCAAAATATCCCTTGAGGTAAATTAACTTATAGTAGTTTATCCATTGCATTGATAAATAACTAATGGGGGTCACATAAGTCGTTTTACTGCATAAATCATTAACGGAAATGTGTAAGGTAAGAAACATAGAACAACATAAGATAATAAGATTTCGTTGCCAGATGCGGATCCAGGATTTTGAAAGGGGGGATCTAGGCCACGTTAGAAGTGGAATATAAAATACAAGTATTTATATGATGTAGGGTCATATATATAAATGTTCGTTATAATACATTTTAAGGACGAGAAGATGAATATGTACCAGACTTTGTATTATACCGCAGGAAGACATGTCACCCTACCCGGACACATGATTCTGATTCCGGACCGACAAATCTTTGCCCTTACTCCTAAATATTGCTTGCTTGGCAGAGAGGCAGCCAATCTTCGATTTGAACCGGGCGAGGATCGAGCCCAATACTTCTCACACTCGAGCAGTTGCGTAGCTTCCATTGACGCAATGAGGCAACCACCTCACCAAATTTTTGACCATTAAAAAAGAGAGATAAAGAGAAAATATATACCATGTATTTCATAGTATAGAATATACAGAGTGACGACGGTTCAAAACGTTGACTGCTTTTCTCTTTACTCACTCATTCATCTTTATTAACGTCTTGAAAAAAAATATGCGTCAAACTTTCTTTCATAAAATGAACAAGGTAGATGCAAATATCTTTTTTAAGGAACAGACAAGATAAACCTCGCAAAAAAAAAATGATTCAAACAAGATGTCATAACTGTGAAACTGACTTGATGCTTAATTTGTTTTTGACAACGATTTTGTTACTTTAGGTGGACGTAGTTTTCAACAGACACTTGGCATTCCTTCATTTTACGTTGTACTCTTCCTACTGACATGTACCTTGGTTGATATAAGCAAGACTTCATAGTGCACCCAGTTATTATATTACATGCATTTTGACAAAAGCTAAACGTATAAAGTTAAAAGACATGGTGGATCTTAAACTTTGATATCCCCAAATCTGTATAAAAGCATTTTAGAGGAGGTCATACATATAATTCTGTCAATTATTTTTGTTTTGATCAGGACCTGTCTGTAACTGAATACTGAAAATTACACCTTTAACCAGCAGTTTCATTGAAATAAATTGATGTAATGCGCACTGAAAATATTATTATTCCATGATAAAATACCACACATCTGGACTTTTCATAGACAGGATCTTTGTGACAGTGGTGTGACCTATCAAGAGTATGGTCACCTATAACCACCCTTTGGGGTGTTTCCTTAGCGTTGCGGGATGTACCAGTATGTACTTTATACAAGATTATATTCAACTTTATATACAAAAAGGTCGTCCGTTTGGTTGTCCGGAATGTATAAATACACAGCCACATCAAATAGGAGTAAGTGCGTACATTCGTTCTACACGGAACAGAACCAAGGATCCACAGGGGTCTGTAGCCATACAAACTGTTAGCCCCTTTTTTCCCAAGTACAATTGAAATTTATGCTGTTATCATGGTCGACTTAGTATACATATCTATTGTATTATTTTGTTTTACTTGTTCTGAATATGCATGCAGTTTTTGTCACTTAGTGTCCGGCTACAACAATCAATTAATGAATCAATCAGATGTGTTTAAAGTTATGATTTTTCTTGTAGTTGTAAATGCTGAAAACTATTCATGCTATTTTGCGATTCAGTTTTTCAATTATAACCGTCCACTTCCTTTTGGCATTGACGTATTCTAACCAAGTTCGGATATGACTGCCAAGATTCAAATCATTTGCCTCACCAGAAATAGAATTCAAGTTACGCTACTGTCAATTAATTGATAGTTCGTTGCTTAAGGTCCAGTGGCAAATATTTCATGCATATTAAACATGCAGAGAGCGTGGCATTCTCTCTACAAGAAGCATCGAATTTAACGTCCCCACGTGCACTCTGGCCGGACGTGATTGCGAACTTGTACATCCCGCACAGCAAACGGACACTCCACTTTGTCAATGGTTTAACTGCCGTTCGGAATAAGACCAATAGTGACCATATTTTTATTCCCTGGTCACCCTGGTGGGGTTTCTGTCGAGGCGAGCACGCTACCACAAGACCAAAGCGACAGTAATAAATTTGGGAGATAATATACATGTACATGTATTAATCAAAACATTTGCAACAAGAATGTGTGGCCTTAAGACACCGTGCCCCTTCACATGATCATATTTCCATGTGCAGTGCACCACTTAATCCGGGTCAAACTCTAATTGGTATATACTTTTAAACGATTTATATTTTGAACAGAACGGAAGAACGGACGGATGCATATCCCCTTGCTATCATAAATTGGCCGTAACACTAAAATGATCATCTTACTTAACAAAACGTCAATCAAATAATCGTTCATGTCCATTTTTCATACGTATTTGCATATGTTAAACGCCAAACATTTTAGAAAAACAATTTAAGAGCAATTACGTTAAATTACGCATACGTTTGTACGGACTCTTCAAAGAGTCAATGCAATATTATTATTAAAGACAAGAAGTAAAAACATTAACTGATTCAGTAAACTGTAATCATATTTTTCTTGAAGATGCGTCCTCATAAATTCCATTTGGTAAAATTCTACAGAATGGTGACAAAGTACTACCATGAATCAGTGATCTGAATTTCTACCTCTGACAAAAGTATTTTGAAATAAATTATAGAAGTATGCTAAAAAAAAAGAAGAAACAAGTCGTGTACACCTTTTACATTCCGGCGTGTTT